ATCCTGTGCTGCCTTCAGCCCCACACCTGGAGAACGTGCCAGGAAACCTGTCTCGTCCCAGCCCTGCCAGCGAGGGCAGTGCGGATCACTCCCACCGTCGGGACTTTCCTGCTGGCAGGCTCGGGGTGTCACGAGTGACGCCTTTCGCAGGTCTCGGACTGGTGGCACTGCACTAACCTTCGGCAAACAGGATCTGCTCAGTGGGACACGCTGGCACTGGCGGTGGAACTCTCCAGCCAAGCGTACTGAGAAGTGGGGAGAGGTCTTTCCTGCCAGGTTTTGTGGGTCACTAGCGGAGTTAGGGCAGATATGTGAGAGTAGTGAGGCAGTGGAACAGGTTTCCCAGAGAAGTTATGGATGCCCCATCACTGAAAACTCCATCCAGCTCTTCCTTTGGTTTTCACTTTTGCTTTCCTAACCACTCGTGCTCCTCTCAATATGTGGGAGTATGGAAATGATTGAGGAGGACGATTCTGATGTTGGTGCAGGTTTTTAAGAGAAAAAGAAGTTAGTGACTCATATTTTGTGGTATCCACTCCCCAGTGCCTAAAGCTAAAGTTACAGTGCCTGCTGGAAACTCATGTTTATACTGTGAATAATCTTGTACAGGAGTCGTGGGCAAGTTCTTCCTGCAATTACTGATGGTCCCTGACAGTGGCAACTGGTTTTTAAAAATCTTATTTTAAACTACACACAGTACTTTTTGTGGTTCTTGCATTACCTTACAAGGGGCATTCGTGTAGGAATTGAAAATGTCATATGCAAAGTCATGAGCTCACTGAATGGAAGGACAGTGGTGACAGTTATTATGGCTGTTTTGTTGGAAAACCAAAACCAGGAACTGGTGAGATTATGATAAGGAAGCCAGCCCAGCAGATCCGTGGTGACAAACACTTGGGATTGTCTGCCCTTGGCTGGGAGGGGAAGGCAGAGGGGGTTGTCAAGTGGCAGGATAAGCTGCTGGAGCGTCGTCTTACGTGCTCCGCAAACTAACGTACGCTTAGCTTTGCTAGTGCTTTTCAGCAGAAAGCACTGTGCTCCCCTTTGTGAACTAGAGGAAGGTTGTGGTTGCTTGTCTGTGACAAATGTAACCGGTAATGGCGTGCAGAGTGAGACTGGTCTGTGGAGAACTAAAGCTGCCCAGGGTGTAACATGGAAGTCTGTCACTGGGACGGAGACACGGCACACCCTGTGCTGTGCCCCACTGCTGTGTGAGTATCAGAGATCACTGCCTGCAAAGTGCTGCTGTTGTGCCCCTCATCTCCCTGCCATGGGGTGACTCCTTTGGGAACACACTGTCCTTGGCCTGCCCTCTTTTCCTGCCTGCTTGCTGCCGGGGTGTGCTGTCTTTGAACATGTGCTGGTGCTTGGGCCAGCACCTGAATCTGAGTGCAGCTGTAGCACAGAAGTAGATGGCAAGTCTGATGCTGTGTGTGACTTGGACTGGTGTTAGGAGCAGAATGCAGTGTCCAGGTACCACTTACCAAACCATAGGGTTTGCCAGTCTTGGGCTTATGTTTGCTATTACCCATTCTGGATGAGCAAAAGCACTTGATTGTTTCAGGTCAATGCTGGATTAAAACAGAACTTTTAACTGGCTTTAAATGTGTATGCTTAATTTATAAAGCATTATAAATTTGCTTTAACTGCATTTGATTTACTTGCAACAATTAGTCGAAAATGTCAGTGGCAACCAGTTATTGCAACGTAATGGGCCATGTGTTCAGTTTAATTCTCTGTCACATTTAGGGCATGGCTTTTTGAATTTTTTAATTGTAGTTTGACATGATACTGGAGCTGTTGGGCACTGCTGAACAAACATAAAAGGTGTCATTGAGCTTAGTGTAATATGAAGAGATGTCTGTTGTGTTACTGCAGTATCACATTAGGCATCTCTGTGTTGTTCATTTATAAATCTACTTAATATCTGCACTTAGAGAAGCAATAGCTCAAGGATTTATGCAGTGGTCGCTTTTACTCTGGGATTTTGCTAAACTGCTACATGAATAAGGACCTCTGTTCTCTTCATGAGAAAATGAATCCCCAAACGGAAAGCTTTTAATAGAGCTTAATTAATAAATGATCAGTGCCTCTATAACTTGCAAAACTGTATCACATTTTGTTGTCTTGTGTCTGTCCCTCTTTTCCCCCACCCCCAGTAAAATGTTCCTGCATGTTGATGTGAAATGTTTTATTGTGGTTTTCGAAAGTTCAGCTGATCTCAGTTGAGAGTGTGAGCAAAGGAGCTCTGAAAAAATGGGATTTCCTGAAGCCTCAGGTGACTGACTCTAGCAGAGCTGGATGTCAGCATGGTGCCTTAGAAAATCATGTGAAGGGGTTTTTTTTGTTGGTTTTTTTTTGTTGGTTTTTTTTTTTGGTTTTGCTTTGGTTTCTTTCCCCTCTTTGTTTTGTTGCGTTACTTCCTGATAAGTTGTCACAGGGCTTGCCCAGCATCACGTGAGAGCCAGCCTGGAGTGTCTGTGTGTTTTGAAAGTCACGACTGACTTAATCTTCCTGGTTTATGGTCTCTCGCTGCAATTGATGTGTTGGAAATGGACATGGGAAGACAGTTCTCTTTAGTGGTTTCTTGCTGAATCACATGGCTTAACCCCAGGTGGCAACCAAGCACCACACAGCTGCTTGCTGTGTCCTTCTGCCTCAGCAGGATGGGGGAGAAAATGAGAGCAAAAGTGAGAACTTGTTGGTTGATGTAAGGTTAGCTTAATGGGACAGAAAAGGAAGGAAAAATAATAATAAAAGAATTGGAATATATAAAACAAGTGATGCACATTGACACTGATCACTGCTTCTGACCAATGCCCAGCCAGTTCCTGAGCAGTGACCCTTGGCCAGGTTTCCCCTCAGTTTATATTCTGAGCATGATGCCACATGGTAGGGAATATCCCCTTGGCCAGTTTGGGTCAGCTGTCCTGGCTGTGTCCCCTCCCAGCTCCCATGCCCTTTCAGCCTTTACTGGCAGGGCATAAGAAGTCCTTGACTTAATATATTAGCTACAGCAAGAACAATGTATTATCAACATTATTCTCATCCTAAATTCAAAACAGAGCACTGCACCAGCTACTAGGAAGAAAATTGTCTCTCTCCCAGCTGAAGCCAGAGCACTGGAATATATGAAAGTGTTTAGGTACTTTGTATAAGAGAATGAAAGCTTCTACAGTTGCATACAAAATACTACCCCAGCTGGGAGAAGGAGGGTGATAAGGTTTCTCCTCTTAACCCCCATCATTATTGCATCCTGGCCTCCTAAAGTCTGTCTTTGCAATGGTCCTGTCACATGGTTTTTTCTGTATAGGCTTTGTCATTGCTGAGACCTAAACTTTGACAACGCTAAGTATATTAAATAAAGCCTATTACCCAAAGGCTGCTATTGATAACAGATTAAATGGGTAGTCTTAAAGGAATTTATCTGTAGTGCCAGGTATCTTTCATGCTGACTTGCAGGGCACGGGTCACTTATTTAGCACTTTGTCTGGTTTATTTTTCTGTTTTACATTTTTTCAGTAAATATTTGACAGCTAATCCTGTTGTTTGTTTTCCCCTTTGTTTGTTTTTTTCAGTCTTCCCTTTACTCAGTGAGACTTCATCAAAATGTCTCTCTATCCTTCCCTAGAAGATCTGAAGGTGGACAAAGTTATTCAGGTATGGTGGACTTTAAAAGAGGTGAATTTTGGTGACAATAATATATCTGGTGATACTTAATCCAGAAAAGGGGAGACTTGGCTGTAGTTGAAAACTTGTTTTACCATCATGCTCTAAAAGGGGAAAGACAAACTGTTTACTTTGTAGCTTGATATGAAATGTTTAATGCTTCTTTTTAGTGGATAAAAGCTCCATGAGAAATTTGACATGAATGTATTTCACGGGGTGTTTCCTTGCTTTCTTCAGCATTTTACCTTTTCCTGAACTTGTGTCATTCCCACAGCAAGGAGTTATGCTGTAGGGTAAGGTGGCTGCTGTCTTGGTGTTCTCACTGGGAAGCAATCAAGTAAACTGCATAGAACAGCTTGTTAACTCTCCTGTGCTGTCCCAAAGTGCAGTGCCTCATCTCACCTGTGTTTGGATGTGTGGGTGGGGCTTTTGAACTTGTGGGTGCTATGTTGAGATTCCTCCTTGTCGTGTCCGCCCACTCCTTGCTTCGTATCTTACCAAAGTCCTTTATCTACAGTCTGGTAATGCTGAACTCAAAAAGGGTAGCCTGGAGCCAAGAATGTGCTCCTTTGGTCTTTTATCGACCAACTGCTAGAGTTTATGTAGTACAGTTGAAAACTGTAGTAAATGTAATCAGTAAGCCATTCAATTTTGACTGATACTTTTCAAGGAATCATTGAATAGTTGAGGTTGGAAGGGACCTCTCAAAGTCACCCAGTCCAACCCCTCTGCAATGAGCAGGGACGTGTTCAACTTGATCAGGTTGCTCAGAGCCCCATCCAGCTGGAGCTTGAATGTTTCCAGGTATGGGGAATCTACCACCTCTCTGTGCAACATGTTCCAGTGCTTCACCAACCATTAAAAAAACCCAACAAACTACTTCTTTGTATCTAAGCTGAATCTATCTTTGAGTTTGAAACCATTTCCCCTTGTTGTATCACAACAGGCCCTGCTAAAAAGTCTGTCCCCATCTTTCTTATAGGCCCCCTTGAAGTAGTAAAAGGTTGCAATAAGATCTCCCCAGAGCCTTCGCTTCTCCAGGCTGAACAAACCCAACTCTCTCAGCCTATTCTCATAGGAGAGGTGTTCCATCCCCGTGATCATGTCTGTGACCCTTCTCTGTCTGGGGACCCCAGAGCTGAATGCAGGACTCCAGGTGGGGTCTTACAAGGGCAGAGGGGCAGAATCACCTCTCTTGACTGGCTGGCATGAAAGACTAAATTATTTGCCTCTCTCAGAAAGTGCATTATAAAAATGCTGTCTTCAAATATGTTTGAGAGTTCTCATAGGAGAAGAGTGAGCCGAGTGCTGAAAGACAGTGTCTGTATCCACAATAAGCGAGTGAGATTCAAATGCCTGCTGGCTAAAACAAACAGACTTGTTATGTTAAATATTATTCTAACCTGTTCTTTTTGTCCATCGTTTGAATTGGATCCTGTTCGTCTAAGTACGTGTGTTATTGCCTAATAATGAGTCATTCTTGCTCTGAAATTTTTTTCCAAACACAACTTCCTCTAGTGTACAGGACTATGAAGTCTTCTATTTTTAAGCATTTCCTTAACATCATGAAGTAATTTGACCGTCATGTTGTGTTAGATGATTTATGTGTCCTGTTCAGCATAATGTTTTACTGTGCATTTAGTAATTTCCCCCCTACCTTTGACGTTCAACTTCAGGAAAGTTATTGGGATAGCTATTTCCATCACACTTAACAGGTCTCTGTATTGCAGTGCTTTTCACTGGTCACAATTACACAAGGTCAAGAAAAGAGTAGCTGAGGTATTGAGAAGGAAGGAAACTGGCTTACTTTATTATGGTCTCATATTTTTGAGTCAGTAAGCCATATGGAAGTTAAGCTTAATATGTTCACTGTAGTAGGAACTGCTGAATACAAATTATCTTAGAAGGTCCATTTCTTTCAGAAGATATTATACTAGTGACATTGGATTGTATAGAAATTGAAACCTGAAAGGAACTATGGTAGAACTCAGTAATGTCTGTAAATGGTGAAGAGGTAAAACTGCAGCCATCCAGCTGAAAAAAGTAATTGTAAAACACTCCGCTAAAGGTCATACCTTAAAATTAAACCATTTTGACTATACAGCTTTGTCAACCAAATGTAATGTGTCCTTTAAGGCTCTTTAACTTGCTTGATGACAAAAACAGAACAGGTTGACGGTAAAGCGTTTCTGCTTTATTACTGTACCTTTGTCTCTGAGGAAGATACAAACTGATCTCCCAACGTAGGTTTGCTACTACTACAGCATGTTATATTGAGGCTGTTAATTTCAAATAGAAAGATTGACTTCACTTCAAGATAAATAGTAATTAGCATGTACAGAAAAATAGAAAATATTGAATCTTGTGCCTGCATAATAAAGATTTTTTTCGTGTACAAGATAACTTATGTGAGTTTCTTTGCTTTTAGGCTCAGACTGCCTTTTCTTCAAATCCAGCTAATCCAGCAATCTTGTCTGAAGCTTCTGCTGCAATTCCTCATGATGGAGGTAAGCTCACGTACTGTGTAGTATCCTAATGTTGTGGAAAGCACTTATGAAATTCTAAAATTAACAGTATGCTCAAAAATACCTATAAATATATAACTATTTACAAAGGGCAAGTCCATGCCTATTTAGAAATGCCAACACCCACCTTGGTACGGTGCTATAGGAGTCAAAACCCATGTTTGCTTATAAAAGGAAGTTGTGGGAAGTGCTCACTCTTCTTTGTGAAACCTTTTCCAAGAGAGCCTAGCATAACAATATTTTTACCTTTGATGCTGTTCGAGCTCTTTTTAACTCTTATCTCAAACGCTTGTTTGTCCTTGTTTATCACATATGTATTTGTAAGCTTTAGAGGGCAGCATGTGTCTGTCTTCTCTGTATGGACTCGCTTAGGAACAAAGATGAAGCTCTGTCAATGGAGAAGTGCCCAGGAAGGTGTCACTGAATCTTGTCATGTGATCAACATAAAGCTTCCAGCAGATTTTGGAATCAAGTGTGTGGTGGGAAATTGATCAGGTCCCATTTGTCCTTCTTTTCTCCCATGCACATGTACATCCAGGAAGGTGCACAAGTATGTTTGAGGTCAGAGCTCTGAATTAATAAGTTATGCTTGGTCTGAAAGGCCTAAAGCCTGTAACCAGCATGACCAGCAGTTCTGGAATGGCTGTCAAGAATGCTGGTGGATTAGATATTAAAGTTTGGTGGTTCTAACTTTGTTTACAGTTCTCCTCTGGGCACTTGTGTCTCTAAGATGATTTTAAGGCAAGAGATTGCACAGCTCACCAGAGAGTTGCCTCTGGTAGATCCTTTCTGGAGCAGAAACTTAGCAGTCTTAACCTCACCAGACCAGATCTGAGTTTGCTTCAGCAGTCCCATCTTGACAGTGTTCTTTCTGCTGTCCAGAGTTTGAATTCTCCTGCAGTTACTTGGTCAGCAGGCAGAGACATAATTTTGACATCAGCTTGTGTGTGAATTGCTCAGGAGGTGTGTGTGGCTGAAGATGCATTAATCACTCAATATATCCCAAATGAAGCGAGGACTAACACTATCTATAGGATGAGCCAAACCCACTGGAAATTCCTCTGTCTTGGAAGAGACAGGAGGCTATACAACATCAGGAGTTTTTGGATGTGTTCTGCTATTTGAAGTGCTCTGTTTGAAATGAGAATGTAATATATCCAGCAAAGATGTATCCTGTGTTGTGGTCTTTAGTGAAGAACAAACCAAGAAAGATTGGATAGCTGCAGAATTCTTGTGCAGTGTTGTGTGTAATTCTAGGGCCTTGAAAACACAAGCAAAAAAGCAGATTTATTCATGTAAACCTTATTAATCAGTATTGATGAACCTACAAGTTAATAGAGTAGTCCAGAAATATGATGAGACAGTTCTCACGTGAAGCAGCATATTAAGGAGCAGAAAAGGCTCCTGTTTATACTGGCATTCACCTTGCCATGACCTTTGTTCCTTCCCAAAAAAGTTACTTTCCACTGCTGATCAAACGTGGATTCTTGTAATAGCTGGTTTTATACATGTGCCCATAAATGAACACTAGAAACCTAAGCTTTGTGCACTGGGGAGCCTGCATCCTTCTGAGGCCATCTCTTGCACCACCTCGCTTTCCAAGCAGCCTTTTCTGTCCCCACTGGTTCAGTGAGAATGCTGGGTGGACTCCTACATGTTTTCGTAACTGCCACTTGTTAAGTGGCACCAGTTAATGGTCTGTGGAATGTCAAGAGCAGTATCAAGCTTATTTCCAGAGTTGTTTGACTCAAGGTCTGACAAGTCTGTCAGATCAACTTCCTTTCCTCCTGCTCTCTGCACCTCACTCCTCTTGGGTGTAGAGAGATATTTTAAGGGCCATGGGTGTTTCATCTTGTTCAGAAGCATGTCTAAAGTCCCTTCATTCTGAAGCTGTGAGAAAATGACAACTGCTTTCTTATGAAGACTCATGGCAGACTGTAGTGTGGACCAGGAGGCTGTCTTCTGCAGAAACCTTTCCATGCCTGGGATCTGGAATATCCTTGTCATGGATAGTAGTAGCAAACCTCTTGAGAATGTTGCTTTGATCTTGGTGGAAGGTCTTTGTGTGTATTCTTCAGCACACGAGGTTTGGGGGTGGAAGGGAGAGTAGTTCTCCATTAATTGCCCAAAAGCTCTAGACTAAGGGCATGTCATCATGGACTGCAGCACAGTGTTGGTTTTGGAACTCGTCACCATGTGCCTTATGTTTGTGCTGTAAAGGATGAATGGAGTAACTGAAACTAAGGTTTCTCTGTATGCTCTTTGTCTCAGAAGTGCTGGTTTTCTGTTTACTTTTCTAAACCAGGCTAGAGTAACAGTCCTGATAAAAGTGGGTCTTCTGTTACCATTTTCCAAGTAGTTAATTACAATAGGAGAAGATTTGGTGGAGTAATTGTACACAAAAGCAGTAAGTGCTCTCTTTGTTAAACCAGTAATTGTATTGATTTGTTTTGTTTTTCTCCTATAGGGTTGTACCCCAGATTGTATCCAGAACTTTCTCAGTATATGGGCCTGAGCCTCAATGAGGAAGAGGTGCAGAGAAACTTACCAGTGGCAGCAGCTGCTCAGTCACAGGGTGTAAGTACCAGTCAAACATGTTTCAGAAAGCAAAAGTATAAAGACTAAATGTATATCTTGCATTCTAGAGGGTAGAGTACTATTTGTCTTAAGTACCATACTTGACGGAGGGATGAATTGTTGCAAGTAACAGTGCCTGTGTTAATCTGCTCTTAAACTGTACATTTCCAGTGTTGGGAGGGGTGGGGGAGAGTTGGTGGTGTGACTTAATTTGTGTGTGGTTTTTTTTTTAAAGTATCACTTTCTATAAGCTGACATACAGCTGTTTTTAAAAGTTGAAACTAAGTTGTCTGGCTGTTTTGTTTTAATCAGCAACTGGTAACACGACCTTCTACTAATTACATGGTAGCTCCAGTGACTGGAAATGATATTGGAATTCGCAGAGCGGAAATTAAGCAAGGAATCCGTGAAGCAATTCTGTGTAAAGATCAAGATGGCAAAATTGGACTTCGCCTGAAGTCTGTTGACAATGTAAGTGTTGAATCTTGCTCTTGCCTCTAGAGATCTTACTACTGGACTAAATTAGTGTATGGGTTCAAAATTGTCTTCTGTATAATGCTTTCCTATCCATTACCAGAATTTTAAAGTCTTTCATTAGATCCATAACTAGATTTCTAGCTGTCTGGACTAGGAACTGAATTTACAGTAGCAGTTTAATGCTATGTGTTTTATAACACCTGAAATACTTGCAATACTTTTTTTTTTTTCACTTGAGAACATGAACTTGTCCTTGTATAGCTGCTGTGATACTTTCTAGTGGTTCAAGACTTCTTGCTTCATTTTGTGGAAGCACTGGGCAGTACTTAATGTTCAGCAGTATGCAAGGAACTGCCCAGGGCTTAAAAGTAGCTCTTCTGTTAGAGACTTGTTGCAGTGTGTTGCTGATGAGAAAAGTAAGGTTAGTTCGGCTGTCCTCTTACCCGTATGTAAACAGGAACTTCAGACAAGGCCTTTGAGTTTCCCTTAATGTGAATATAGCTGCAAGAATGTCCTGCTTTGGAGCTTCTCTGTTTCAGTACCTTTTGATTCTCAATGTGGAAGATGCTACTGTTCTGTTTGTGGTTAGTTTTGGTTTGGGGTTTTTTTCTCCTCTTGGCAAGGCCATTTAATCTGAATGTTTTTTAAAAATTGTACTCGATGTAGTATATAGGGTTAAAGTGCTTTTTATAGTTCTCATAATGCAGAAAATGGGGTTTTCTTAGAGCAGCATGGGGGTTTTTAACACCCTTTCCCTCCCAAAAAACGGTATTATTTATAGTTTGCATCAATATGCTTTACTTGGTTTTTAGGGGTACTTTGACTAGAAATAGTTTGGTAACACCTTGGTTTTCTACCTGAGCTGCTGCAAGTCGTAATTGATTAAAAAGTTGAAAGCTAATAGGGTTGTGAAAGGAGAAATCTGCCATAATGTTCCTGGCAGTGTTGGTCTATTTCTGTAGCTGTATGTAGACTCTGATGTCTGGGAAGGGAAATATTAGCTAAATGCAGCAACAGATAGGCAAATTTATCACCAGTTTGTTTTGATCCAATTGTTCAGATTTCCTGTTCAAACAGGCGTCTTTATCCCTTGGAGTAAGGCTTTAATGTTACACTCATGCCTCTCTTTTTTGAGGACTTGCCAGAAGGACTGGCGAGTCCTTCTGTCTGTTAGGCTGGTATTGCATAGAAAATGGGAGGCTAAAGGGCTGTGCATTCTGTCACTGGTCTTCATCTTAAAGGAAGAACTTTCTCTTCTCCCCCACCCTCCCCTTTTCTTTCTCTTTTGTAGGGTATATTTGTCCAGTTAGTTCAGGCCAACTCCCCAGCATCCCTTGCTGGTCTGCGGTTTGGGGACCAAGTTCTGCAAATCAATGGTGAAAACTGTGCAGGATGGAGTTCTGATAAAGCACACAAAGTTCTGAAACAAGCTTCTGCAGAAAGGATTTCAATGATCATCCGGGACAGGTAAAGCTAACTGCAGATGTGGATTGTCATTGTCCATCTTGGAGTAATTCTGTGGGGTTTGGGTCTCCCCTTGCTCGAGCAGGACCGCAGGCATGGCAAAACCTGTTTGTCCATGTACTTCAGTAGTGAGGATCCTCAGAAATGTTCCCTTTTGTGGGGAATAATCAAAATGGTTGTTAACTTGTAAACTACCTGGGCATGATGAGGCATAATGTTTTCCAAGGTAAACTAGTGAGTGATAGCATAAGTTAAATTTAAACTCTGAATTGAAAAGTTCTGTGCTTTTTTTTGGACACAACTTGACTTTTGCTTACACTAAATGAAAGAGCAGTAAAAGTACCAAAATACTTGCTGCATGAATGAATACCTTTGCATTCTATTTAGCATGATTGTTTTCTTGTTAACTCTGTTGCTTACCTATGCATTGATGCCAGTTTTACTAGAAGTACTCTTTACAAACCAATACAGATTTTTAATTGTATTAAATAACAAGCTTGTAGCTAGTTGTATGTACTAACAGGTCAGATTCAACATAAGATGTGTAGGATGCAAGAAGACAGATGATATGACTAGATATGTGCCTCAAAGCTCTTTCCATGTTTGTTCTTGCTTGAGAACCAAGTTTGACCCAGTGGAGTACAGGTGCTTCCATCAGGGCAGCTACTTCAATCAAGTATTGAAACAAAATACTGTGGTAGTAGACTCCCTGCTTTGTCTGCCACTTCTGTTCCCAATTCCACACCACCTTCCTGGATCTCCTAGCTTTTCAAGAGCATAATTTAAAGGTTTATTGTCCATAAACCAGTAGAAATGTTGTCAGGAAAGCCTTGTACTCCAGAATCCTGTTATCTGCCTGTGCTATTTTATCTACCTTTTAATGTTTGTAGAAAAAACTAAATTTTGAATGGACATTTGTGTGCGTTTGGTTCTAGCGGTGGGTGAGTGGGTGGATGTTCTGTGGGATTTTTGTATTATTATTAATCCAGATGGTGAAGTGTCTGTAGAACAGGGAAAACATGTAAGGTTTATAAACAACTATATATTACTGTAACAGTATTGACAAAATTAAGTTAAACCCAACTACTTTTCATTATAGTTGATGTATGGAATCTCTTAGAATACAACTACTCTTAGTAAGCCAAAGATGGTAAAATAGTATGTGGTTCTGGTTTAGTGAACTGAAAACATAATTTTCTATTTTAAATGTGTTTTTAGACCTTTTGAACGAATCATTACTATGCATAAGGACAGCACAGGGCATGTTGGCTTCATATTCAAGAATGGAAAAATAACCTCAATAGTGAAAGATAGTTCTGCTGCAAGAAATGGACTTCTTACAGAGCACAACATCTGTGAAATTAATGGCCAGAATGTAATTGGATTGAAGGTAAGATAAGTAGTATGTGGTGAGTGTGGATAGCTGTGAGCTTTTTATGTATGTATGTATGGTAAGTGTGTGTTTTGGAGAGGGAAAAGGATTGTAGTATATTGTTTCATGTTCATAAAATAAGTCATTCATGAGAGGTCAGTTGATTGGAGAGACATATATGTTTTGAGGCTTTTCAGTTTTGTATTAGTAGGCAGAGTAACTCGTTCTCTTCCTCTCTGCCTGGCAAGGCTGACTGCCAGTTTCTATCTGTAGTCTAACTTTGCTATCAAAACAAAGCTTAAGCTTCCTGCTGCTAGCCTGTGTTAAATATTAGCAGAAATTTTGTGTGTGACAAATGCATCCCTTTTGTAGCCAGTTCATGCAAGGTACCAAACGTCTATGAGGTGGCATTGCAGGTTCAGTGATTTGCCTTGAAGGTTAAATACTCCAAGCAAGGAGTTCTGGGTCTCTTAAACCGCATGAAATGCATCTAGAAGAAGCTTTTGAGTTGCTGGTTTATTAGCCAGCTTGAGTTATGTTGCTGATATGCCTTCTTGTTTAATAACAGGACCCTCAGATTGCAGACATCTTGGCAACAGCTGGAAATGTAGTGACCATTACTGTCATGCCTTCCAGTATTTATGAGTATATAATAAAGAGGTAGGTAATACAAAGCAGCCACAGTGATAATTATAATCAAGTTGACACGGACTTTATTTTTTGTAGGCTAAATAAAATGTACTCATGATAAGAACTAATTGCAAACTTTACAAGAAGACTGGAGGAGAGGGGGGTGGGGGAGCCTGAAAATTTGCTTAATCTGATGTTTTGGTCAAATTGGTATGTGTTAGTTGTTTTTAAACTATTCATATGTTAGTAATGATACTTTGCCTTTTCCTGTCTCAAAACCCTTTTCTAAACATATTTTGACTAAGCCTGAATTTCTGAGAACTTTTAAGTATGTAGATACCACAAGTATTTGTTACCTTGTAACTAAAATGTTCTTTTTCCTGCAACTGATTCCTGTGACGTAAATATGATTCTTGGCAGGATATAGTTGTTTTTTTCTAATCCTTTGGCAACGGTGGCTTAATACAGCTAAATCTGTCCTGCAAAAATGTTTTTGAGGTTGCTAGGAATTAATAATGCTTCAGGTAAAATCGAGTATTTTTTTTTCCTTTTTACCCCCTTTGCTTGATATGCTCTTTCTACAAAGCAGTTCTTAGTGTAACAGCTGCCTTTCCCCTTGCCCTCCTTCCCTTGTGCTAGTGATAGTACTCTGCTTGCACATGTGCCCATATCCTGCAAGTTATTGATAACATAACTCAGTTACTAATAGAAATGTTGGATATTGTGGCCTTCTCTTTATTCTGTATGTGCAGTTTGGTGCAGCTTTCTGTAGTAACACATTTGTTGTCAAAACAGTGGAGTAAAAGTCCAGCTTTTAATTTGTATTAAAGGGCTAGCAATGACAAAGATGCAGTGAGTAGAAGCTTTAGTGGTCTTCTGCAGTTATCTTAAAAAACTGAATGCCTTTTCCTTTTCCTTAGGATGGCAACTAGCATCATGAAAAGCCTGATGGACCACTCTGTTCCTGAAGTCTAAACTTGTACCATGGATGTGTGTGTACATATATAAAATGATGATTCCACTAAACTTGGGCTATTATACTCAGTGATTTCTTTCTTCTGCACATGAGCCTTTCTGAAGGCTGAGAGAAGATATGCTGCATCAAGCATTTGCATCTTTAATGGCTGGGAATGTCACCATTCAACATATCTCGTTTATTCACAAACTGTACAACTTGTAGCCTTATATGCTTGACAAATGTGAAATTCCAGTTGTGTTATGACTTCTTTTCGTAGGTCTCTTATTTAGCTTACTACTACTATAAGCCATTGCACCTAAAGGAACCAGGTATCACTTGCAAAGGTACGTGTTGTTACCCAGGACAATGCTGTACTTTGCATGTCTCAGACAAATGAGTATTTTTACTGCTTTTTGTTCGCAAGAGTAGATTTTAAGTAGTGTATTAGAAGTATGGTTAGTACTAGTTAATTTTTT